TGGGGTCTTACCGAACCTCCAAAAAGGGAGGGGGGGTCGACAGGCTCGACCAAAATCCCCTACTAAGGTTGTGCCCTATTTCCTCCTCTTCAGTGCGTTTTACTGCTTCCTATGGAGACGAGCCACGTTTTCGACTCGCACTCAGAATTGTGCCGGCACTGGAGTGTACATTTTCCCCATTCGCTGTGAAGATCGTGTACTCTTCAATAAATGAAATCAGTGTTACCGTAATGTTCGGTTTCTTAGCGACCACCTTCTTGAGTACAGCGCACTCCTCTTCAGCAAGAACGAAGAGCGTGCTGTATTCAAGAACGTGGTCGCTAGGGAAGTAGAGTCGCTATTAAGGAAGAAGATCACCGTTGAAAGAAGTATTATACTTGCTTGCGGATCGGAGATAGTTCCTGGTTCCATAGCTGGGACTGCGCAAGCAGTTTTGTCCGCTTTGAACACGCGCGGGTGGGGGTATCAAACCGCTGCTTATCGGTATTCCGGCGCAACGGCTGGTCAATTCTAGGGCTGGCCCGTCAGAACTAGCGTTTTTTTTCTAAGTTGGAGATTCAGATTAAAGACCGAAAGTTTAACTATTCAGTTTCAGAGTATAGAGGCGGAATCAATGTTATGGGCACCATAACAGGCTGGCCTGCAAGTTTCCCACAGCGCTTGGTGTAGACTGCAAGCTCTGAGAGGCGATGGTGCTGTGAGATGGCTGAGATGGTGTGACAATATTCTCCGGGTACTCTTTTAGACTAAACAGAGCGGATCCTTTCTTTGGTCAACTGTAACTTTTATAGAAAGGCAGTACAAGTAAAGAACATACAAAAAAAGCAACATAACTTATTACATACCACAGGAATGCTCCGTTATTTCCAAAAGTTGAGCTCTAGGCGGAACTCGAACCCACATCTCCTGCTGACTGCTGCTGCTATCTATTACGTTACCTGGGCCGCTCTTACCCTCTCACCGTCATCCGATATTAGCTGTTAAGGGCGAGGCTGAAGGCATTGCAAGCTTTGGAGATGTTTGTTGTGTGTTTTTATGTGTCAATTGCTGTTTAGCCTTCCAGTTGAGGCTTTGAAAGTTATACAACACATTGCGGACCGCCGTACTCATTTTGTCATTTTTCGTGAGTAACTCATCGGTAACTCCATTTTTTTCAAGCGCTCTTGAGGTATCTATCTTCGGTAACTAAGAACGTGCTTTGACAATACTGGAACATAAAAGAAAAGCCAAATCAATAAAATAAACACCGGGAGAGACAAGTTTGTGACACAATCACATGTGTTTCATGCGGTCCGGAACGTGTTAAAGAGAGTATGATTCGTTCCAGCTGCGTAGGGGATAGTGCATTCTCCCGATCGGTAGGAGAAGCGGGTTTGAGTCCTGCCTGGGGCCTGGCTTTTGCCCTTCACTCAGCATTCTACTGACAACTTTTGGTGCGCGAACTGCGGCGCTAAATAGCAGTCATCATATCAGAAACATCCGTTTCCATAGTTTGTAGTTGCACCAAACTTTTTCTGAATTTCCTCCAAACTGGCATATGTGCATGTAGGTGTTTTAATAGAGTGACTGAAAAGCAGAATCGAATCTCTACATTTTCAATGACCATAACTTCCTCAATAGGCAACCGGTTGCGGAATCGAAACTTCGAGGGTTGAATAGCTTCGAGGGTTTAATAGCTCCGCTTTCCAGAAATCATTGGAATTTCCCCTGAAGACATCGTTCAAGCGGTGAAGACATCTCAGTTCAAGGGATACTTGAGATGGGATTTTGACGGGAGAAATTCTGAACAAAGGCTTGGCTCCTCCTGTGTTATCGCAGCAGAAACTGTTCGAAAAGCTTAGAATATCTTCGGGGCGCTCCTTCTTGTTAAATTGCATCGTCTGCTCGTTCCGTCATTCGCTTCGAAATCGTTTACTTACTATCCGTTGGCCTCTTCTATGCGGACGCAATGCGTCAACCCCCACACTGGGATGGTGTACTATCAATCTCGATAATGTTTCGCTACTTGCTCTTCAGTTCTCGCTTACCCCTTCCTTGATTCCCTTCCCTCTCCCTCCGAGATTCTGCGAACTATGCTGTACTCTATACGCAGATTACCCTGAAATTCCCGTGGTCATTGGGGCGGTAGCTCACAACGAATCAGACAAAAGATAAATGGGTGATAATGTAATGTAAGCACGTGCCCGAAGCAACAAAAAAATTTCCATCCCATTAAATACGTCAGATAGAAGAAGGAATACGTGGTTGTAGCGAAAGAGTTACTTGTCTCAAAACCATCAATTCAATGAATATGCAATGCATCTGTGTAACGGTAGCTATATTAGGCCAATTTTACAATGGTGATCGTTGTTTCACAAAAGAAATGGTTCACATAAGGTCTGCTGCTATCGTAACGCTTCTGATGCTACTGCTCTTCAGGTGAGCATGCTCTTCTACCGCATTCTCCGCCAAACCTGCTATTTTCCAGAGTGGCTCACTCGATTGCCCGATCTGACGGATTTGATCCTTTTTTCTCCAAATCTTTTCCTTCAGCAGATTCGTGAAAGCCTGACGATATCTATGTGGGAGTAATTTTCAGCAATATTTCAGGATTAACCTGTCTGTTTGCCCATAACTTTCCTGGGACTTTCGGCCTCATAGGCGCCGCTAGCAGAAGCTTTCGGGTAAAGACAGTTCCCGCGATCAGAGGGAATGATGATTGAATACTACAAAGGATATTTTCCGAGGCCGTTTCAACGAAATATTACCGCTGCTAGTGGCACTGGTAACTATATAGGAACCAGGTCACATCATCGTTGGGGATTCCCCAACAGGAAGGTCGTGTTTAGTCGCTGGGAAGGGTGGGGGGGGAGGTCGCAACTGGTCTGGAAAAACCTTTTTGATATTTATTTTCTTGCTGCACGGATGCTATAAAGGGGGACGGGTCGTATTCGCTAATTGTTGGGAGAGAGAAGGGATAGTATTTGCCTTCTAGCTTTGAGGGAGATTTTCGGGAAATCCTAGAAAAACTGGTAGAGAGTTGGGAGAATCTAGGAAAGAGATCGGTAGGATGGGGGAGAGGTCGAACCTGGCCACCATTTGGAGAAAGGGGTCGTACGGGCTCGACCATCAGCTCCCGCACGAGCTGTTCAAACCTTTCCCTCTGGTATGTGGCACCAGACTTGCTTCTCAAATAAAGCACTGACTTACACCAAGCTATCCCCTGTAGGTGTAATGCAAATGCGTGGAGGGGTATTCACGATTTCGGGCTTGAGCTTCTCAATAGTTTTATCTGTTACTCAGGAGAATGTTGGATATTATCCACGGTTATTGCTATTTGGCAGCGCTCCACACGGGTCCAGCACGGATGCGGTCCCTTCAGAGCACGCTGTCTTGGGACGAGGTGGAATGCTTGGGCCCCCCTGGAAGATGATGATTAAAGACAGTTCCTGCGATCGAGCGGTCAGAGGAATGCCTCTGTGCTTTGGCATCATCGTCGGCATTCGCAGAGAATTAACACTTTCGTCACTCGAAACGGCGAGATAAAGAAGCTAGAGACGCGTGATTATTGCAACCATTGCAACCACGATTACTTTCACTCTGCAAGACAACGGCTTACAAGCGGATTCGCGTATGTACGTAGCGTTGCCTGGCCGCCGAGAATTAGTTGCACGTCAAATCCCGCTGACTGAACGTGCTTGCGTCCGGCAAACTTGCCCAAGGCGCCCACTGTTGCCTACTGCTGAGGGGTACACCTAGTATTCGTAACATTTGATCGCGGGAATTGTCTTCTACATACCTGCACTTCAGCACTGATCCCACGATTGTTCTTCTATCCTATCTCCTATTAATGTTTTGACGATGGATTCGGGCTCTCACGTAAGTACATGCAACGCTGTTCACTTTTATGGGAAGCAAAATCTGAACAGCTTTTCATCAATCCGAGAAGTTCGATACGACCTAGAGAAATAGAGTGATATTTTTCAGCATAGTCTCGAGGGCGGAGGAAGTCCCCGTTGCTGTTACAGTGTACCATGGCAAGAATACAGACGTAAAGTAAGTATTACGGGATAATTCATATATGTGGGGGACACCAGGAACGTTGAATAATGCGATTTTGCTTAGACTCTGGAAAATATCTATATCTAGAGAATTTTTCTCAACAAATTAATATTTTGGATTCATATTTTGGTATTAGATTTATAATGTTACTCAATGAGCTTTGGCTTCTGCACGTCTTTGGTTGGCGGGAAAGTTCTGTCACATTTTTTCAAACTAGGCTTTCTTTTTATAGAGAGGCGTACAAGATCAAAATTATACAGCAATGTCATTGCGGAATCCTCTGCCAGTTTTCGAGCACTTCGTGGATGCCATCGCTTCACAATGGAGGCTGGCACGACGCAATGTTGGACATCATCTCAATGTTGACTTGGGCTCGAGTCGTGGAGGTTTTCTCGGCCATATAACGGTTATGTCCGAGAGGTAACTAGCAGTTAGAATGTCTGGAGTACACCGGTGCAGGGGAGAGCCATCCAGCTCTTTTGCATGAAGTTCGGCTCGAACTTTTTTGGACAGAGGGGCTGCACCATCACGTTGAAGACGGACTGTGCGGACGAATTTTTCCCTCTGATCGACGATTCGCCTCAGCTCTCGTAGCTGCTTTGCATACGGATCGACCAAGGACGCAGCTTCTTCGTCCAGCAGTTTACCGACCCACAGCTCCCTCAGGCTAAGTTCACAGGTATACCCAAACCTCACTTCGTCATTCAAACTGTAGGCTGCGGCTCTGAAGCTTTAGCGTCGTGGAAGGTTGTCTAATAATCGTAGACATCGTCCTTATGCAGCTCCATTATTTCGGCATCAACAGCTGTCATGCTGGCGCCAGGGCGGTAGAAGAAAGAGTTTGAGGAAGCGCTTGGAGGGGTCGGTGCCAAAGGTAGCGGATAACATTCTTGTTCATATTGCACAATAAGGAGAAGCAGGAGTCAAGCCACCAATAGAAAGACCATTCTTTGATGTATAAGTGCTCACATTACCGGTTAACGCTCTTCAGGTAATTAGCAAATATTTTGGGTTCAAAAATATATGACAGAACTTTCCCGCCAACCTAATACTATTCCAATGAGATGTGAATGTTCTGTTAGCTGACAAATCGTTGACTGATATATTTTCAGAATGAACCTTCCAGTTAAATCAATTGCCAAGTCAGGTGTCAAGGAAGTTATAAGGTCCCTCAAAAAAACCGGGAAGGAACTGAAGAGGTTCGGGAAGCGAAGCGGTAAAGAACTCAAAAGGTTTGGTAAACGAGTCGGCAGGGCAGTGAAGAGACTTGGTAAGAAGATCAGGAAGATATTTGGAAAATAAGGAAATGTTTTGGGAGGTATGGCAAACTTTTACCGCTTCTGCTGAGTAAAGTCATTTCAGAATTCTTGTGTCCACTAGAATATTTTGTTTTGCTAGCAAAGGTGAAGTAGACTTCTGGTCGTAGCTAAATCAAACGTTTACACTAGTTGTACTGAGTTTGTAAAGCCGAGAAGGGAGAACCGTTCATAGTGTGTGGAACTAAAGCGGTGCTTGGACTTTGCGATGACGCCTTAGCGCGCGGTAACGGTGAGGAGATTGTTGGGTCGGTAACTGTAGAGTGGGAGGGGTTCTGCCATGTATCGCTTGGCGTCTGCCTCTTATCTCAACCTGCAGTTTCCTTACCGTATACCAGACCAACAACTTCTGCATACCCGCGGTATCACGACAGTTGCAAGAGCGCTCCAATCCTTTACAAGCCAACGCGGCAGACGAGAATCGGTAGTGCCGCCCTAGCGGCAAGTGCCGATGGCTATCGGACTGCAGACTACGAGGTTTGAGAGCTTTGAGAGATTCTAGCTTTCCCTTACTCTCTTAGTGCAGAAGCAGCCCAGACAGATTCCCGTCTGCGGCTGCATTTGCATCTATAGGATCATAGCGCTGTTGCAACTGTAGCGCGTTGCAGGGTGTCAACGAGCGCCGTCGCGAAGTCTGAACGCCGTCCAAAGCAAATTTCATCCGAATGAGGAGGTAAAGAAATAACTTGGACGCCTCGGCATGTTACTCGACCTGGCATGTATTGCTGAGCCTTTCGAGGCTTGTACGCGGGAGCGTTCAATTACCGGCTCAAAGTTTTGATAGAATCGTCTTCAGAGGCCTAGTAGCTTTTGTAACTCTGGCAATGCGTAACCCCAGTCATTTAGAATCAAAACTGACTTTGGCTGTCGAAAGAGCGGTATTACATTCCTGAACTCGAATCGCTTCTAGGCCTCTAAATGAGACTATTGATGTGAACTTCTAAGACGGTGAGTGAGCGCATCCAAGCTGGCTTAATAGTCGAGTATTCGGTGCATTCAGAGGCTTTCGGATGCAAATGTTGAGTTCACTTTAGTTTCAGTCTCGGTCAGTTGATATTAGAACTCAAAGTCAGTAATCCCCCTCCATACAGGCCTGGTACAACTTTGTCGTTCTTGGAAGGTAGAAAGACTTGGTTGGCCTGGCCGTAAGCCAATCACCCCCCCCCCCCTCAACTCCCGCGCGAATGGTGAGCAGCCCACTACAAAACGTCTGCCACACTCTGATCCTACTAGTATAATCGGCTATGTCCGTGTGTGTGTCTGTGTGCGTCTGTTTGTCACGAAATTCATAGCACCTGAAGAAGGGGCTATGAATTTCGGGACGGGGTGGGGTCAGGGTGGGGATGGATAGAGCATGGGACAAACCCTAAATAGCACTCATGACTCATAGTAAGACCCACCCACAGTGGGCGGAGCGTGCGTCCTA